CCTTATCTAAAGCCTCACACGCTTCATATCCTTTGAACTACAGATTCCATTTCTATGACCTTATCCCATGGAACCCATCAGAGATGTATACAAAGATGACTATTTAAAGATTTAAATCCCAGCATTTTTAATAGCGAAAAACTAGAAACAACCTAAGTGATTTAAAAAAAATATGGTCCAGACACAAGAAAGAACAATGAATTTGTAGATTTTAAAAACACTTATCTGAGAGGTTTGCCTTTCCCAGGTATAGGCAGGAACAAGGCTGAGTCTGCTGAGCTCTTTCTCATGTTCAAGGTAATGATGACCTTCTTTACAACTCTAGACACTTTAGCTACAGCAACATCTATCTCTCTCAAATCTTAGAATAACATGGCATGATTGCTTGCTATTATTCCCACACTGTAGATGAGAAAACTGGAGTTTCACAGGCTGAAGGGACTTCTCCCTACCAGTACTAACCACCACGTACTGAACACCCACAACAGGAAAATCTAACCCTTTTCACACACTGTCAGTTAATAAAATCTAAGAAACGTTTAAAAAATGTGCAAGACCCTGTACTAGTTTCTAAAGGAATAGCAAACACAGACAGCTTTCTATGAAACACATGCTGACTGTATTAATATTATGTTTCTAACAACATTAATTATTACGTCCATTTTGCAGATGCACATACTGAGACTCAGAAGGGTTTAAGAGACTGGCCCCAAGTATGACTGGCTCCAAACTCAAAGATCACAGACTTTTTATTACTCCCAGAGACTGTGGAAACTGCACAATCATGTCCACGTCACCATGCTGACGACCAGTCCTGAGGGGAAGGACTAGGCCCTTCCTAGACATCGTAGAGGAGGTAGCAATGTCAAGAAACACCAGGCCTGGGTGTCCAACTCCTTCTTCCCTCTGCTTCTCTTCAAAGGTTTCTCGTTGATCCTCCAGGGACTGCCTCATCCAAGGGGCCGAATTGAATCCTGTCTGACTCAGGGCCAACTGAGTGTTCCTAAAAGGAACAAACTTCCAAATACCTCCCTCCCTAATCCTCCTACAATGAGCCCTCGTGTGTCGCTGTGGGTTAATGTGCCAGACTGCAAAGCCATTTGAACTGCAAGGTCAGAGGTTCAAGCTCACCAGCAGCTCCTCGGGAACCCTATGCAGGGTTGCTATTGATCGGAAGAGACTCGATGGCACTTAACAACAACAATTCTCCATTAGGGAGCTCTGGTAGCATAGTGGTTACAAATCAGCCTGCTAACCTCAAGGTCATCAGTTCTAAACTACCGCTGGAGAAAGATGCGGCTTTCTGCTCCTGTAAAGATTTACAGCTTCAGAAACCCTATGCAGGGTCGCTATGAGTCGAAACTGGCTCCAAGGCACATAACCACCACCACCACCACCAATCCACCAATGCCTAGGAATGCACCATTAGTAACTTCCAGGTGTGGGAGCTCCAGGCTACACACATATTCCCTAGAAGGGGAATCAATCTCTAATCCCACATATAATCAGCCTAGCATACCTGCACCTGGCTTGCCCTGTTAAGCAGCTGAGCTCTGCCCCAGGGCAAATGAGAATAATGGGAAAGGGGGTACTACCACTTCAGGGTTAACCACAGAGATAGGGGAAACACAGGTAAAGAGAGTCAGCATACACCCAGCACATGTGAAGGGTCAGAGTCACCCAGAAACAATTGTTAGGAGAAAAAAAGGACTGAGGCAAGCATATTGCCAGCTGACTCTTCTATCTACTCAGGAACATTAATAAATAAATAAGTGACTTGGAAATTATCTTCTGGGAAGGTTTCACATCCTATGTTGCTTTTACCACCATTAAAACACCCTTGTAAATGAAGTGGCAACACGTTCCGCCTACAAAACAAAAAATGCTTTTGCCAGCACACCTTTTACATGGCAAGCGCTCCAAGCAGCATTCATTCTGTTATCCAAGAGAAATGATTACCTGGCTTCGGTGCTTTGTTTCCAAAGACTCCAAAGAGGGAATACATGTCTGAGAGACCCAGATATTGTGAAGCCTTGGGAACTTCAGTTTTTAGGGGAATGAGTACAAAGGCTCAACCCCGTCACTAACCCTCAGGCTCCCAAGCCCTGGCTGGCCTGGCCCCAGCTTCACATCAGCCCTCACCCCCAACTAGGTAGGCATAGCATCCCCACACATGGGGCAGACACTCCTTTCCCAGGGAGCGAAAGGATTCCAGCACAAGACCAACTGGCTTCCAACCTCCGGATGAGAGAATTCCAGCACAAAAAAATAACCTCCCAACACAGCAGTTTGTGGAGCACGCAGACAGCATGCAACAAAGCCTCTTCAGCATCCATAAAGCAGTCAGATTCGACCAAAGTCGGAACCCAAGTGCCAACCCCACAGCGCCCAGTACTGTTATCTATTCGGAAAGCCATGGGCTCCCACTAGCCACCTTAGAAAGCCCCCACGATCTCTGAAGATCCCCATTCCTATTCCTGTCCCCATCACTCACTGAAGCTTGCATCTGTACAATTACCCCTCACCAGTCAAGGCCACCGCCACCCAGTGACGGTCCCATGGAGCCAGGATCTAACCTCCTCCTCCTCACTACTAAGCCAAAGGCAGCTGGTCCTGTCCCCTCAGCCTCCTACAGCACAGCATAGCACCACCTCGACACCACCTTGGAGGAGGGGGACGTGTCGCTCCACTCACCAGATTTTACCATTAGCTTGAGGACAGCGGTGCCACCATACTTGACTTTATTCTCTCAACTCCAAACAGGAGGAATCCAGGGACTGCCCCAGAGAAACATCAGCCCATCTATCCCAGCAGCTGCCAACGAATCTATTCCTAAGCAAAGGAAAAAATCAAAGAGACCCCAGTCCTGGTAAAGCCTGTATCAGCTCCTAGGCTAGGTAGAGGGATTTCAAACCCCGTCTCTGCTTGTCCTGGGAAATCTGGGCTCCCTTCCTGTGCCAGAGAAGCCACCAAGCCAGATTTTGTTTATAGAAAATTAATCAGACAATTCCACACACCGCTGCCAGTGGCACTTAGCTCCAACCACTACCATTTACTACCACTTCTAGAAATGGGTTTTTTGTTTCAGTCCCAACCCCCCACTCAGAGCCCCTTCAGCATGGCAAAGCGGACCAGGGGTCAACCTGGAATGGGACCTGCACGAGGTCACCTCAGCCCTGCCCAAACTCTGGCAGGGGCTGCTGGCGGAATGTTTGCCGGCTTCTGGGTACAAGCTTCTCGCTGGAGGGAGGTAAACATGACATGCACGCCGACTGCTCCCTCCCGGGAGGGCAGACACAATCAGAGGCTAGACCGCTTACTATCTCTCCTGTTCCCCGGACAACCACCACATGCACATAAAACAGGGTACATACATAAGCCCCCTCATGCGGGTGCAGAGGGTCCTAACCCCTGCCAAGGAAAGCGCAGAGAAGGGCATGTTCCTGGGGGAGATTGCCAGAGGTGGGCACCCGGCAGAGAGAGGTAGGCAGCAGACCAGCGTGGCCTGCCGCCCAGACAATAACAAAGATGGTAAGTGAGATTTTCAAAGACGCAGTGGCTGCACCCAGCGCTGAGCTCTGGCCTGGCTGCATCTTCCCGCTAGGGCACGCCTGGTCTCCTGGGGCACCACGGCCATCTGAGAAAGACTAGGGGTCCTGTCTTGGGCTGGGCTTGGCAGCTGGGGCAGGAAGCCAGCTGTAGGCAGTGGTGGGGGTGCCCTGGAGAAGGTAGCTAGCTCTTTGGCTGGTACAAATGAAAGGTGTAGCAAATCTACTTGGGAACAGGGTGAGATACTCTGTGGGAAGAAGCTAGGGTCAGTTAAACCATCACTCAACCTGGGGCAGGAGTTGGGTTATAACTTGAACTCCTCTGCCTGCTGGAACCAAGGGGGAGGTGAAAAGACATTTTCATTCTACCTGTGCCTCCCCTATAGGGAGTGCCAACTCACCAATTGTACATACAGACTCAGCCCTATGAAGGCAGATGCCAGGGACCTGAGATGCAAGGGCTGAATGCTAAAAAGGCTCCAAGGTCCCAGCCCATTCTTTGACCTCCACCAGCTGAGCTGGGACACGTTCTAACTGGCACTGGAATCCACCACTGTGCCTGTGCCCAAGTGGAAAGATGCCTGGGGCTGGCATAGCTTGAGGAGGAGGAACTGGGCCCCCACAGATGGTGTCCGCCCTGTGTCCGCTCGGTGCCCCCGCGTGGACAGGATGGCTTGCCCTTGCTCGCTGGAGCCTGCTCAGCAGCCGTGACTCCCAGCCCCACAAGTCACCTCCCCCTGGAATTTCCACACCTGCTCCCGGTTTGCCCAGGAGAAGGAAAGAGCAGGAGACACCCCTGGGAGTGGAGAGGGAAGGAAGCAGCTACCCAGGCTGGAGAGTGGGAGGTCCTTCTTTTCCTGCCTCAGGCAATAACCCTAAGCTCAGGGCCTGGGCACTGCCCACTCTGTTCACCCCAGCCCCCAGCAAAGCAGGAGCCCTACTTATAGCAGATGTGCCCCTAAGCAGCCCAGCCCCCTGCTCCTCCCCTCCAGATGTTCACCCTTTTCTTTTCCTCACCATCGGCACTGCTCGATCTCAGCAGAACCCGACGGAAACGCCTTTTGTATCTGATGCCCAAGGGTTCCTGAAGGCAGGGGGATGGGTCCTGGGGGTAGAGGATCCACTTCCGTCCCCAGCCCCGGGCATTGCTTGGCCCGGGAAACAATGCCCACCTCGGCAAGGCAAGGCAAGATGAGGCAGGACTTCTCGGCGAGGACACTTCCCGCCCGGCCTCGGGCACACCCTCCTCACCCTGGGGGGAAAGAGAGGGAGTCTCCCTTCATGCCCCCTATTCCAAGGTAGCCCCACAAGTTCCCGGAGGACCGCGTGGGTCCCCTCCCCCTCTGAATGCGTCCCAGCCCGGGCTCTCGCTTTGTCCCCGCGCCCCCCGGGGGCGCATCCCGGAGCGGTAGCGCCGGAGGCCGGGCCGGGCGGCGGCGGCGGCGGGCTCACCTCTCATTGTCCGCGGCGGAGGCGGAGGCGGCAGCAGCGCTCCGGAACCCCGGCAGGATGTGGCGGAAGCTGTGGTTGCGGTCCAGCTTGGGCTGGCTCTTGGTGCGCTTGATGGAGCCCTTGAGGCGGCGGCTGAGGAAGCCCTGCGCGCGGGGCGACAAGAGGGGGAAGGGGAGGCGGGGTTAGCGTGGCTGCGGGCCCGGGACCCGCGCGGAACCCGCGCCCTCGCT